CTCCCCGGTTGGGGGGTCCCTGTCCTGGTGGGGCTCCCCATTTGGGGGGTCCCTGTCGCGGTGGGGGTCCCGGTGCCCACAAGGGCTCCCCAGTTTGGGGGTCCCTGTCGCGGTGGGGGTCCCGGTGCCCACAGGGGCTCCCCATTTGGGGGTCCCTGTCGCGGTGGGGGTCCCGGTGCCCACAGGGGGGTCCCCAGTTAGGGGTCCCGGTGCCCACAGGGGCTCCCCAGTTGGGGGGTCCCTGTCGCGGTGGGGGTCCCGGTGCCCACAGGGGCTCCCCATTTGGGGGGTCCCTGTCGCGGTGCGCACGCCCCCCCGCTGACGCCCCCTCCCCGCAGACGGAGCGCGCCTACCAGAAGCAGCCGACCATCTTCCAGAACAAGAAGCGGGTGCTGCTGGGCGAGGGCGGCAAGGAGAAGCTGCCCCGCTACTACAAGAACATCGGGCTGGGCTTCAAGACCCCCAAGGAGGTGGGACTGGGGGGGTCCCACAGGGGGGGGGGTCCATCAACGGGGGCCCGGGCCCCGCGCCGCTCACCCGCCTCTCCCGCAGGCCATCGAGGGCACCTACATCGACAAGAAGTGCCCCTTCACGGGCAACGTGTCCATCCGCGGGCGCATCCTCTCAGGTGGGGCGCGCGGGGGGCGCGGGGGGCCCGGCCGGCGCGTGATGCTGCTCTCACGATGGTCTTCGGAGCCCCCCCTCGGGGGCCGTGACGCCGACGTTGGCGCTGACGCCGGGCGCGGGGACCCCCGGGCGGGCGCGGGGCGCGGGGCGGAGCCCCCCACTTCCCTGGGGTCCCCCCTGGGGGGACAAGGGGCAGCGGGTGTCCCCGCGAGCAGGAAGGGTCTCCGTGGGAAGAGCCCTGGGCCTGGTCACAGCATCCCAGGGTGTTGAGGCTGGAAGGGATCCCTAGGGATCATCCCGTCCATCCTTCCTGCTCCACAGGGACACCCGGAGTGCAGGGCACCCACAGAATGGTTGAGGTTAGAAGGGATCCCTAGGGATCATCCCGTCCATCCTTCCTGCTCCACAGGGACACCCAGAGCACGGGNGTTGGGGTTGACAAGGATCCCTAGGGATCACCCAGTCCAACTGCTGGTCCAGCAGGGACACCCAGGGCTCAGGGCGCCACCCCGAGGGCGCCATCCCGAGGGTGACACCCCAAGGGTGACACCCCAAAGGTGCCATCCCGAGGGTGACACCCCAAGGGTGACACCCCGAGGGTGACACCCCGAGGGTGACACCCCGAGGGTGACACCCCAAGGGCGCCATCCCGAGGGTGACACCCCAAGGGTGACACCCCAAAGGTGCCATCCCGAGGGCGCCATCCCGAGGGCGCCATCCCGAGGGTGACACCCCGAGGGTGACACCCCAAGGGTGACACCCCAAAGGTGCCATCCCGAGGGTGACACCCCAAGGGTGACACCCCAAAGGTGCCATCCCGAGGGCGCCATCCCGAGGGCGACACCCCAAGGGCGCCATCCCGAGGGTGACACTCCAAGGGTGACACCCCAAGGGTGACACCCCGAGGGCGCCATCCCGAGGGTGACACCCCAAGGGTGCCATCCCAAGGGTGCCATCCCGCGGGCGGCGCTCACGCTGCCCTCCGCCCGCAGGCGTGGTGACCAAGATGAAGATGCAGCGCACCATCGTCATCCGCAGGGACTACCTGCACTACATCCGCAAGTACAACCGCTTCGAGAAGCGCCACAAGAACATGTCCGTGCACCTCTCGCCCT